AATACAATTGTGGAAAACCAATGATAATAAGAAAATATTTAAAGCATTCAGGAGAAAAGACACATTATGTTCAGAAGACTAAAGAGTATCCTTAATGTTCTCATTAGAAACTATGCAATCCAGAAAACAATGGAATGACAAATGTCAGTCCTTGGAAAGGCCCTCTCTGGTTGTCCTATTTAGATCTCCAAATCCTCCCCTCCACCCACTGTATCATAATCCACATTCTTACCTTGCTTTAATTGTTAACTTGCTCATGGGCTCCCTCCCCTCTAAAATGTACATGTCCCAGAAGAGCAGATACATTGTCTTGTACACTGCTGTACACCAGGGCCTAGAGCCACAACTGGTATTAAGTGGGCACTCAACAAATACCTGGTAAATAATGTCATCCAGGCAAAAGAGCAGAGTGTCAGAGAGCAGTAAAGTATCCTACAGCCACCAGTGGTTCAGCACCATTACAGATGAAGATGTGCAGCAGTGAGGGAAGGAGGAAAAGCTGGAGTGTAACGTAGATTCCAGGTCATGAAGCAAATTCTAGGACATTTCAGGACATGGAGAAACTTGTGGAACTTGAATTTCATTCGCTGGGCAGGTATTTTAGGCAGAGGAGTGTTAATATTCTATTGCAGTCTAGAAAAATTATTCTGGCATCCCCTTGTGCCAGATGATTTAAAGGGGTGAGTTTGTGAGCAAGGAAAAGGTGATAAATGAGTACAAGCAGTGAGAATGGGCCAGATCTAGAAAGCTCATAGGAGGTAGAGTGTAGAGGAGTTGGTGACTACCTAGCTGTAAAGGGTGAAAAGAGAACCTTTGACTTGTGTGGTGGGCGGGTAGGAATACAGGAAGAAAAGTAAATTTTAGGGGAAATCGTGTATTTGTTATTTATTAGTGTACACCAAATTAGCAGTTTAAACCAACTTTGGTTATCTCACAGCCTTTGTGGATCAAGAATCTAGATATAGCTGATAGCCTTTGGCCTTAGGTCCCTCAAAAGGCTGCACCCCACCCATTGGCCTGGGCTGTAGCCCTCTCAAGGCCTGACTGGGGAAAGATCCTCCTCGAAATTCACTCACAAGGCTGTTGGCAGGCCTGAGGTCTTCTCTGGAAGTTGCCTGGTGAAATCAGCTCCTTGTCACCTGGGCCTTTCACTACAGGACAGGTGGCAACCTTCAGAGTGAGAGAAAACACCCCAAGATGGAAGCCACAGCCTTTTTATAACCTAATATTGGAAGTGACAGCCTATCATTGTTTTCCCCGTTGTGTTCATTCAAAACAAGTCATTAGGTGCAGCCCACACTCATGTAGGGGTAAGAAGTTTACAAGCAAGCATGAATATCAAGTAGGAGATGAAACTCCTTGAGACCATGGTAAGAGGGTGCTTACAATAAAGGGTAAGTTTGGACATGTTTAATTTGAGGATTCTGAGACCTCCCAGTTGGAAATACTCCGGATGCAGATAGTTGTGTAGCTATCTGGCTCTGGAGAGAATCTGCTTTTAGTAGAACACAGCTTGTAGTCTTGGCACAGATTTACAATTAGTGGCTCAGGGCCCTTTGTCTCCAACATGGTTTAAGCTTCTAGAGGTCAGTGATGAAAGGACAGATATTTTTCAATCCCCCAGGTATCCCTCAGGTAGGAGATACTCAACACATAATTGCTGGTTGAGTTACTCAGGAGGCAGCTTGTATCACAGAGAATTACATGGTTGAAAATAGTTTATTCAGCAATTTTTGCTCAGCCACCAATTGTGGGGGAGACTTGGAAAGAGGTCTTCCCTTTTCTAAGCTGCAAGTTCCTGGTCAGCCTAAAGCTGGTGTTGGACAAGATTAGTGGTTTTTCAAAAATGTAAAGGTTTCATCTCAAGTACCTCAGTATGTTAAAATAGGTAAAAGTTGGTCTCATCTAGTTGGTTTCCTTTTTGTTTCCCCCAGAAAAGAATCCCATTTTGAAAAACGTTAGATAAAATAAATTCCTAATATTTTTTTTGCCAGCTCAGATATTCTGAGATTTTATGGCAAGATCAACTGGAATCTCCTCCTAGTTCTGTGATTCAGCTAAGATCCATTGGTGCTGAATATTTCATTAAGCTTTTGAAAGGAAAATACTCTTATTTTCTTGAACTTGTGACAAGATATAATAAAGCTGACCTTAACTAAACACTTACTAGGTTTCAAGCACTGTGTAAAATATTTTTCTTTGCATGATCTTAATTTGATCCTGTCTCCCCCATTAGAGTATCATCTCCAAGAGGAGAGGGACTTTGTCTAGTTCACTGTGATAGTTCCAGCAGCTAGAATAGTTCTTAGGCCATAGAAATCGTTCAGTAAATATTTTATTAGTGAATAGAATTCAGTTTAATAAGTACTATTCTTTTTAAATTTATTTTTATTTTTTAAGCACTATTCTTATTTCCGTTTTACAGTGCAGAAATTGAGTCTAGATTTACTAAGTTGCCTGTAGTCACACAAGTTAAAAGCAGGACTAGAATATGAATAGCTCCTTGTGACTCCAAAGTACACTATGCCATTTCTTTTCTTTCCTTTTGCTTCTTTTTCCAATCCTGGGAATTGAACCCAGGAGTACTCTACCACTGAGCTACATCCTCAGACCATTTTTTAAAAAAAACTTTTGAGACAGGGTCTCACTAAGTTGCTGAGGTGGGACTTGAACTTACGGTCTTCCTACTTCAGCCTTCTTCAATGGTGGGATTACAGGCATGCACAACCACACCTGGCTTAATGCCATTGCTTGGTGTGATTCACAGAAAACTGAGAAGGGAGCTGGACTACACTGATTGCCTTCTATATGAGGAGCACAGTCCTGGGTACTATTTTTCACTTCCATTATCAACAACTCTGCAAGACAGCTATGCTATTCCATTTTTCAGATGAGGGTTGGAGAGGCTGAGCACCGTACCTAAAACCTTCTAACTAGGGTAAGAGACTGAACTCAGATCAAAGCCCAGGTCTTTCTGACTCCAAAACATTCCTATACAAGACCCAACGCATTAAAAAGTATGCACCCAAGTTAGGTTCTGGAAAACACAGCATTGGTGGGTGCAGGTCAACATGGTCCATGAGGTCTTGCCACCCGCTTCCCCAGCCCCCAGCATTTCTACACCTTTGCATTCATGAATGCACTGGGTGTGGAACTGAGAAAAGTCCAACAGGCTGAGGAAGTAGAAGTCCACATTTCTAAGATGTGGCACAAAGTAAGAGCTGATGACTGTGGATGATAAACGTGGGCACAGCAGCCTGCTGTTCTGTGTAGCCTCGTCAACATCAGGCCAGGTCTGAAGTTAGACCAATGATGTCACCAGAGCCTCTTAAAGGCCTCATCACTCATATCCACTTGTCATATATTATTAAGCAGATCTATAATACATGTAAAATTTTCTACTGAATTTCCATTCCTGCCTTTTCATGACCAGGAAAAGAAACATAGAGTGAGTATGACTTTTCCCAACTTTTCATCCTTATTGCCCTTCATTGAAACATAACTACTTCTTAAATCATCCCCCAAAATGGTCATTCAGGCTTTCATTTCATTAATATAGATGAAGCTTCAGTTTAATAATTATCATTTAACTAATGCATACTCTATACAGACAAGTAAATGGATTCCCCTCATCTTTTCTTCCACAGAGGAAGCGAAGTCTACAACCATATCTTTTTCTCTTTTCTCTATTCTCCACATTATTTTTTTGAGACTTTGGAGTTGTATCGGTTATGTTAGAAACTTTCCATGCTATCACTTCTCCAGAGATAATGAGAGTCCTTCTGAGAATGTGAAGGCTTTGTAGTCCGAGTTTGAATCTCATTAGAAGCAGTGATCTTGAGGATGAGAAGTTATCCAGGTGAAGGGCTGTTGAAGGCAGAGAGAGAGCCAAGATGCATATGGTGGCTGGAGCCCATGGTAGGGGTTGGAAAGAATTAGAAGAAACCAGAGGGACTGGAAGGCAGAGCCTCATTGGAGGCAGGCAGCATGCTGGATTCAAGAACAGATATCCAAAGATGAGTGCTAGGGGTGAGCCTGGAGTGTGGGCTGTATTCGTGGGTGTGTGGCCCATGGAGGCCTTGCACCAGGCTCCACATTCATAGTGCTTTGAGCCTGGTTTAATGTCTCTATCACCATCTTGAAATTGTTAATGCTTTTTAAGCAAGGAGCCCACCTTGTCATCCTGTACTGGGAGGCACATAGTATATAATCTGTTCTGCTTGCATGTGAAAACCAGCTATCTAGGCAGTGCAGGGGAAATGCATGGGCCTATCTTGAGACTCAGTTTCTGCTTCTGTGAACCAGAACACATAGTTCCTCCTTTAAAGATACTCTCATGAGTATTCAATGTCATTATGAGTCATTAGTGTATTGTAGAGTAATTGGTGCCTAGTAGGTGCCCAGTAAATATTCTCTCTCCTTTACCAAGAGACCATTTCAGAATTATCTGAGGAATTGCTGTTTTCTAAATATATTTGCATAGGCTTCATTCTGAGTGATGGGGACTCAATAGGTGTGGGGTAGGGATGCACTGGTTTTGAAAGGGCTTTTTATATAATACTCATGCATGCTCTTGGTTAAGAGAGGCAGCCTTAGGTTTTCAGAGATCTAGCTAAGAAGCAACTTAATAGAAGAGGGCAGAAGGAAAGACAGAGGGAGAAATTGATGGACTACTACTAATCCTTAACATGATAAAAAAACCTGTTAAAGAGGAAAGAGGTCATCATTTTATAGCACTTCGGACGACACAGATAGTGCTGAAATGCACCATGGGAACGTATCCCATTACCAAGGTTTCTATAAAATTCTCTGCTATCCATTTGGTCTGACAAGTACACCCAGAGGAACAGGGGCTATGGACCAGACAAGCCAGGGTCAAGGCCAAGGTTGGGTCTGAGTTTGAATTTATTTTCCCCTTAATGATCCTCATACCATACTTAATTCCTAAAAAGAAATTGTGGCTAGAGGGAGTAATTCTGAATCATGTTTATTGTGCCCAGATTTTAGGTTTTGACATTCTTCTGATGAAAAATCTGAAGCCTATGCTACTTGAAGTTAATGCAAATCCCAGCATGAGAATTGAACATGAACATGAAGTAAGTATTTTGAGCATCTCATTGACTATATGGCTATAAAACCAAGTGTTCCTACTCTCAAAGTATCCACTTGGCTACACAAAACTCAACATTCTCAAATTTTCACAGTGAAGTTCTGTTCAAGTCAAATAATTTTAGTTCTGTTGAGCTCTAAACAGAGTCTATTAATATAAGACCTTTCTGACCTATGGTAATTTCCCAGCATGCCATTCTTCCCATCTTTAAGGTCTGGAAACATAGAAGCAGCTGAGCCTTTCCATCAGTTTTGACACAAACTAATTAGTTAGCCTCAGGAGATGAACTAATTGAAATTCTATGAATATGATTTAGCCATGTCGACATGCTTGAATCACTAAGATAAATAGTATATTTAACAGTGGTTATACTTTTTTCTACCCCAAAATGCATTTAAAAACCTGGAAGGAAATACACCTAATGTTAGTGTTGGGCTTGGGGTGGGGGTACACAGTTTGGAATCTTTTAATTTTCTTAATGGCTTTCTATATTTCCAGCTTTTCTACAGTGAACATGCAAAATTTTGATAATCTGAAAATATAGTGCTATTTTTATTCCTCTTCAGGTATTTTGTAATTAATAAAAGGAAATTGGCATTCTTAAAGTGGTACTATAAGAAGAGGATTAAAAATGTCTCTTCTATAGATTAGCACAGGCCAAATGTAATAGTATATACCTGCTTGACTGTTTGGAGGATGGCATATCGATAGCCAATTGGCACCGAATCACGATCCTACTGTAACACAAAATCCTTACCCATTCAAGCTTTCTCCAGGCGTGTTTGAAAATGTCCCCAGCCTGGTCGATGAAGAGGTGAAAGTAGCTGTGATCAGAGACACACTGCGCCTCATGGACCCACTAAAGAAGAAAAGGGAGAGCCAGTGAGTATTTATTGTGTCCTTTGTTTCTATTTACTCTGCTTCCTAACTCTGCTGCCTAGATGAGTTAAGTTCTTAGAACCAGTTAACATGTGAGACACACATATTCCACAATTTCATTCTGTAACTATCAGCCTCCAACTAACAAGTGACTTAAAATCAGGAGTAATTGGACGGTTTCCTAACTGATTGTTATCCACATCAGAAAAGTCTCTTCCAAGCTCCCATGTTCCTACAGTGAAAAGATCTCCTCTGGCCCACTGTTGTTCACTTGGTACTTCTCTGAAATCTTCAAGCATAAGAAGAGTAAGATAAAACACAGAAGACGTCACAAATAGCTGGACTTGGAGTTTCCTTCTTTTGTTTCTTCGCAGTGTAAGCTTTTAGTTTCAAATTGTGCAGAACCAGTGTAATGAACTTCTGATACTTGTTTCATACTTATAACAGTTGTAATTCTTCTCCATCCTCAGCTACAAGAGGCACATTAACCAGGGATATAGGTGTGTGTGTGTTCCCTATCTCTCCCTCTACAGAATCACCCTAGAAATGAAGGACATTTCACTAGGGTATTTTGTTTGTTCTTTTTTTGTTGTTGTTTTTTAACCAAATTCCAGGCTCTCACAAAGTAAGGGTTGAGTAAATATAACTATACCTATGTTTTAGGCAGAAAAACTCAAAGGCCGGCATTTCAAATAGCACTTCTCACACCCCTAAAAATCAGGTTGGCCCCAGTGCTTCCTGACATTTAAGACCTTGTCGGTGATATTTCAAGACTGGGTGGAATGCAGACTTCCCTGGAGCAAGTAATGTTTTGTAGATGGCTCTAATGAGGCTCCTGACAAATGGGGCTCAAACCCAAATATTTTTAAAGCCACCGTACAGGAGTGCTTCTCACCCTTGGCTGCACAATAGGACCAACTGGGGAGCTTTCAAAAATACCAGAACCAGCACCTGTGCGTCTAAAGATGCGGATTTTAATTAGCCTGGGCTGGAGGCCTGGCCATAGACATTTTTAGGCTCTCTGGGTGATTCCACTATGTAGCCCAGGTTGAGAACCACTGCCCTTCAGGAAATGTTACACAGGTGACACCTGCTCAGCTGAGTTCTTCCTGAAAGCACTCTTCACCATGTAAGGCAGGGGTTGCCCTTGTTAGCAAGATGCTCCCAAGAATGGTCACCTGTCGATTGCCTAGGCCAGTCACACAGGGTGTGGCTTCCCCCAATTAGCTCTTCAAAGTGGCAGTGTGTCAGGGCTGCCAAGTCCTCTGAGCAACTCAGACACAACAGCTACTAAACAACGTATCCACCAGTAAGTGCAAGTAGCTGCTTTCTCTAGCTATCCCTTTGGGAAAGCAGTGGTTAGTTGCAATTTGGATAGATTTAATTGCAATAAAACTCCTTCCTCAAAAATCTATTCTCTAACAGTTATTGATCTCACCAGCAGAAATGAGGTTGTAAGACACTGGATGCTATGGGAGGACTTGGGTGGCTTTCTATGGCAGTGTGGTATGGTGGTACAGTTTATTTTGTGATGACCTGACACATTGGCATTTTGATATCTTAGGTGTGAAGAAGAATTTTAATATCTGTTATGTGGTCTGAGCCTTCTTAACCTCTGCCACCAAACATGAAGAGGTGGAAGTTTTTCATTGTATTTCTCATTAAATGGTATTGAAACAAAATTAGCTTTCGTTCTCTTATTCTAGTTGTTTTCTCTTACCTGCACCTGTAAAATGCATATGAGCTGCAGGTCTGAAATTTAATAGCAGTGGGGCACCAGGCCATTGATTGGGAAGGATGAAAAAGGCATTTTACAACTTATCAAGTCATAAGTAGCAGCATCTCATTTTTAATTTAAAAAGCATTGACTTTTTTTATTGATAACTAAGACCAGTTAGAACTTCAAGGACCTGACTTCATTTCTAATATAGAATCCCTTTCATCTCACCCTTTTCTTACCTGCAACATAAGAGAGTATGTTAATAGCTAAATGCCATTTACTGATATTTTTCTTAATTTCACTTTATTTTATTTTTTACTCAGCAATGATTATCCATGAAAGTTCTTTGTAATCTGTAAAGTACATTTATATGTAAGGGATTATTGCCTTCATTTTGATTAACTTTACCATACAGAGGGAAAGGCTGAAATTATTCTCAACTCCTTTATACACAAATCTTTCAGAATAACTTGAAAGCACTAGATTTGTGTCCACAGAAAATGCACAGTGCTGCAGTGCTGAGTCTTGTGAGTCCAATTCTGAAACCATGTCATTCCAACTGCACGGAATGATGTCACACAGATCTCAGTTGGAAGTTACCTTTAGAAGTAGAATTTCTTGCTGGGTGTGATGGTGCACACCTATAATCCCAGTACCCAGGAGGCTGAGGCAGGAGGATTTCCACTTGTTCAAGGCCAGCCTGGGCTACATAGTGAGTTCAAGACCAGCCTGAGCTACATAGTGAGACCTTGTTTCCAAAAAAAAAAAAAGCAAAATTTCTTGAGATTGCACCGAATCCAACCTAAACCTTTTTAAACAAATGCTTTGCTAGACTTCTTTCAACTCTTTAGCAAGAGAGGATATGGAGTGGCCCTCTTTAGTTCTTTCTTGGGGACTATTTGTCATCAGGACTATTGAAGTGGGCCTTCACTAGCCCTGACACAAATTGAAAAAAAAGGCCAAAGATATCCTGAGCCACCTCAGTTCTTAGATTGGCCTAGAAAGAGCACCAGACATGTGTCCATGTGTCATATATTTCTGCACACACCTGGGTCTGGTAGCCCAGGTCAGTTTCTTGGTGGGACTGAGAGCAGTCCTCAGGCATTCTATGGGGGGAGGAGCTTGACCTTGCAGATATCCACCTTGGCATAGTCAAAAGTCCTTTCTTTTGAGCTGACATTGAAATCCTGGCCCTGTTGCCAGCTGATATCAACTGGAGATGCTGAATAGCTGTTTTGGGGCTCAGTATCCTTTTCTATGTAGTGGGATAAGTGCAGTTAAATGAAACAATGAGAAAACCTTGAGAAAACAATGAGGAAACCCATGCAGGCACTTTATAATGCTTATTTTACTGATCAATAGTATCTACTGGACATGAAACAAACAAAACATAATGCTTAGTTGTTGTACTCTTTCCTAGTCTACTTCAAGTAGCATTTTGAACTTAAAACCACTAACATATCCTAAAACTGAAGCTGTGGGATCCCCGTGGACTAGAATTGACATTGGAGCTGATTACTTATGCAAGGCTCTGTTGCCAGGTAGCAAGATGTCACTGGTCCATACTTATTTGGTGAGTTAGGAGAAATTAACTTCCTCACAGAGGAAGACAGCTGTCACATGAGAACTATTTTGACTCTGGTGATGTTTTGTTGTATCTAGTCATTCAGTTGATTTTCATCCTAGGGTTCTGAGGAAGCACTATGGGAAAACAGGAAGGGGGAGGCTGATATGATGCGATTCTGGAAATATTATCTATATGGAGATAAAGTTCACATATTATAAAATAGCCATTTAAAATTGTACAGTTTGGAGGTCAGGGATATAGCTCAGTGATAGAGTGCTTGCCTAGCATGTGTAAAGTGCTGAGTTCAATCCCCTGCCCCCCCACCCCAAGTGTAAAATTTAGAGGCATTTAGTACATACACAGGGGTATGCAACCTTCACTCCACCCAGCTCCAGATATTTTTGTCACTCCAAAAGGAATACCATCCCATTAGGCAGTGTCTCCTCATTCCCTTCATCCACATCTCCTCCCATCAGTCTGATATGCATTTCCTATTCTGAATATTTTATGTAAATAATATATAATGTGTAGTCTATGATTGGCTTCTTCATTTAGCACAATGTTGGAGGTTCATCCATGTCACATAGCATGTGTTTGCACTTCATTCCTCTCTATAGCTGAATAACACTCTGTTACATAGATATAAAACATTTTAGTGTTCATTTGTCAGTCAATGGACATTTGGGTGGAAGCCATCTCTTTTTCAACCAGATGAATGTTGATCTGTTTCATATTTTGACTTTCTTCCTTAACATTTGTTTGAGAGGAAATGATCTTTTCTGCTACAAGAAGTTATTTGAACTTTGCTTTAATACAACCCTGAACTTTATTGGGAAAAGCACGGGTTTTAGAAATCATCATGCCAGTCATCTCTCTGGTAAAGAATCTCCCTTGTAAGCAAGCGTGACAGAGGAGTAGCGTATGTCCAGACAAGGCTCTGAACTTGGCATCAGCCAGGTATGGGGTGAGGTCCTTTATCTCCAATCATTGTGCTTTAAGCTTGGCCAAGTTACTTTGTTCACTGATCTTGTCTGTAAGATGGGACTCAAGGGACCTCCTTGGCTGGATTGTCATGTTCATGCTATGAAATGACACAGGAGAGCGAGAACCTTATGAAATCTGAGCATCAGACAAATGCTAGTTGTTAGGATCGCCAAGTGATCGATTATGCTGATGGTGACAGGTAACTCACTAGCTTCTGAGGTAGCCTACTGGAGTTGTGAACATAGTGGTTCTTCACCCCAGAACCATGTATAAGAGACTACATTGGGGGAAAGTAAGTAACTTGTCCCAAGTTGCAAAGATGAGAGAAAAAAATGAAAAAATCAACAGAAACTGTCTTCTCTTCTCAGGGTATAAACCCAGACCTTACCCTTTGAATTGTCAGTACATCTTATTGAAGTCCCCTCCACGATAGGGAAAGATACCTTCTTGGCCATTTACACTAAGCATGCCATCCTAAATAAAGAACATTATCTTTGCGATCAAAGATTATTCTGGAAACAGATTCTCCTGGGAGAATCACCCAATGATCCTGCTGAATGGCCCATCCATGTGTATACAATGGACCTTTGATGGAAATCCTGAAGTTCAATTAATGCCAAAGATTCCTTTGTGGCCAGACCCTAAATCAGTACACAAGCACCTTTGAAGATTGTATATAAATGAGAATTCTGAGTCACAGAGAGGTGACTATTTGTATATTCCTTTGCATCATGAGTGGATTAGAGAAAGAGAAATACATTTATTTTGACTGTTTATTGAGCACTTACAATTGTCTCATCCCTGGGTGGGCTGAGGGCTGCTGCTCTGATGCAGGCAGGCAGCTCACTGGGATTTGTAAACTTCGTATCAGTGAAGCATTAATGATACAAAGTTTAAGGAAAGGAAGATCGAAACTTTGAAAGGAAGACTTCATTGGAAAGGAGGATAAGGGAGAATATAGATAGTTATCATGGTAAGAATCAGGGAGATAGAGGAGGACCCACGGGCCCTTTGCTCCCAGCTGTTTTTTTTAGGGGGTCAGGAGCCTTCCCCCACTCCACCTCCCACCCACCCCTGAACCTGGCATAACTGGATTGGCTTCCAGGCTTCCCTGCCTAATGTCATTTCTTCTGGTGGTCTACGTGCAGCTTCTCTCTGTCTTGTCTGTTTACTTGTCCTTGACCTATTTTGAGGCCTTATCTCTGGGGTGGGCGGCTAGCTGGCAAGGCAGTGCCTTAGTCATGGTTAGTTTAGAGTTAGTAAGGGAGTGTGTGTGTCTCTATTGTAGTCACATATAGTGGCTCTAGAGTGAATCCCCATGTACTTATGTATATGTTAGTGCATGCTTGTCTAAGAGCTTTCCACCAAGTCGGTCAGCCCCCTTCCCCTCTTCCTCCCCTGCACTGTATTGGAGGTGGAGAGGGACAGCTATCTAATCTTGGCTTTGTGCACTTGGCTCTTTCTGTACTCCGCCTGTCAGCTCTTTCCCTCTCTGATCTCTTGGTGCAAGTCCCAAGGCCGTTTGGTGCCTTTCTTTATCTGGCTTTCCCCCCTCTCTACCCTCATGCTTGACCTACTTCCCAGGAAAATTTCTCTAGTACTTTTAACTTCTTCTACCCAGGATTGGCCAGGATTGGCCAGAAGACCTAATGAGGCCCCTATTCTATTCTTTTCCATTTACAGACCCCTGCCCCTACTCTGTGTGTCAAGAGGAAGACTACAGAAACAAATTAGCTCAAGGCTAGAAGGAGAGGCAAGACCCACACATGACTATCTGTAAGGTAGAAAGTGCTAAGTACAATAAATGTAAAGACAAATTGCCAAGGGAGGAATGTGTAAGGAGAAATTATTTCCTGATGGGAAGAGTTTTTGAAAACTTATGAAGAAGTGGCATGTGAGCTGAAGTTGAAAGGGTGAGTAGGACTTGAAACATGAAACAGAGGAAGGATGTCCATGGTGGAGGAAGCAAAGGTAGGAGGCTCTGTGGGGGAGCCTTGAGGAGGATCCAAAGGCTGGAGAGAAAGGCACAGGCAATGGATTGGTAGAGACAGGTGCATGGAGTGGATTGGTAAGTAGGTAGGAAACCGGCTGGCTTTGAATGTCAAGCCGAAGAATGGAGCTTGTTTTTGATTTGCAAGGCATGAAGTCTTTAAGGGTAGCTGAGCCTAGATATGATGCACAATTTTGCATATATGTGTATTTTTCCTGGAGAAGAGGCTAGAAGTTTTATTGTATGGGACCAAACTGTCCTATTATTGGAGGCACCAGTGAATGTGTGTAAGGTTAGGGCACTGTAAGTTGGAGGTATATTGGCTCTCTGTGCCTCAAAGGTCTTGGGTTGGAGTGGTAGTCAGCAAACTAGGAAAATGTGCATGAATTTTCAAGAAAGAACAGACAAGAGATGACTAATGGTAAATGTATTCTTTTATGTGCAAGAGATAAAACATGACAAGTCATTTCCATCTGAAAATGTGGAAACATTACGGCAGAAGTAACCAGTAAAAAGCCTCTTTGGTGTGAAATCTGTTGAGAGAGAACCATTTCTGAGACTTCTGGGGAAGGTGGCATTTCTTGAGCCGATGTGAGCGCGTCATTCAGCCACCGGTAGGTGCGCATCCCCCCTTGCCTGTGTGAGCAGCAGATGGAAAACCAGACAGGCACATGGCCAGTCAGTCACCATTATGGGGGAAATGGCAGTGTGATTTCCAGAGTTATTCCAGGTAGGGGTGGGGTAGTAAATGTGTTTGGAAATTTACTCTCAAGCTGCTCTGGTGAGCCTTATACATTCACATGTGTTTAAAATCACTTGTTAGCTTCTTGGAAAAACACAGAATTGTCTGGGCTCAGGAGGCCAACGTGTGGGTATCCGTTCCATGTGGCATAAGATAAGTCCCTGCACTTTTTGGAGACAAGTTTCCAAACCAGACAAAACAAACAGTAAGAACAAGGGAATGGTATTTCCTGCCTAGCCTGTGTCACAGTGCTTGCCCTGCACAGCATGGCGTCGATGTTTGCATTTATTCCTGTTTTGTCCTCTTGGCTGCTGTATGCAGTAGGAGCTAGAACTACTTCTGCTTTACAAATGTGGACACTGAGGCTTGGAGAGGTTGGGTGATGTGTGAAAGAGTGGACCGGAAAACAGAGATTAAGGAGATGAATGTCCGGGAGGGAGGGCCCATCCTTCCCTGCATGTAGGCATAGCCCAGGCTCAGTGTCTCATTATGAACCTTGTGCCAGGGACTCAGCTCTTGACCCGCAGGGTCAAACACAGAACACGAGTAAGTATTTCTGAGTGGGGAAGCTCTGTAGCCAGCTAGGTCGCTGCTCCATTTCCAATAATGTCCTGAACCAGAAGGGATAAAACACAAGCCAATATGCAGACAGCAGCAACTTAAAGCAGGATTCACATGTGAAACGAGAGTTTCTGGAGAAAGAAGGGTTAGCTTGCTTAGGTCACATCACATGAATTTGCCAATGTGAGGCCTTTCTTTCAGAATATGCAACTGGCAGTGTCATTGTGCCTTGGAGCTGGACTGGAGGGGTCAAGGCAGGCTTCTCAAGGGAGGTGAGGCTCACATTGGCATGGGCTGGGATGAGTGGGAAAGCAAAAGTGGTATGGGGAGGGGCGGAGGCAGCAAGGTGGGTGAAGGGTCAGTAGGGCTGAGGAGGCAGCCCAACCCTCGCCATGTTTCCTAGGGCGCTAGGGCAGGAAAGGGACAGATGCTGCTCCTCTGCTGCCCATTTCTTAATTTTTTTCTCATCATAAAAGTAAAAACTAGAAAATACTGAAAAATAATTAATCTAAAATCACCCTTCAATTCATCCCTTAAGAGTTAACTTTTGTGTTAATAAAAATTGAATAATTTTCATCTGTTCTCTTACAGTTGAGGTGATACTATCTACATAACTTTTGTTTGGAGCTTTTATTCTTCTCCATTGTATGTGACAGTAAGATCCCCCTTCTGATTAATGACTCTTTGTGAACATCATTTCCATCAAGAGCTGGACTGCTGTTTGCCTCCCTTAGTACAGAATGTTCGGTTTACTTCTAGTATCTTGTTTTTTGAACTGTGGTGTAGTTAGCAAGTCAGAGTTGGGGGGAGGAGCGAAGAGGAGAGTAGAGAGAGAGAAGGAAAGAGGAGAGAGAGGAAGAAGAAAAAGAAAAAGAAGGAGAGGGGAAGGGAGGAGAAAGAAGAGAGAAGAAGAGAGAGATTTGTCTGGTTACCAGGAATTGAGATCAGAGTGGGTAAGAGCTTGAGCCCTGGCATCAGATGCTTTGCGGGTAAACCCAGGCCCTGCCATTTATAGCCATAAATGTTCAGAGTCACCTCCCCCTCTGCCCTGTAGTTTCTTCATCCATAAAAGGGAGCTTTTCTTTTTGGTTTTTTTAAATCTGCAAAGCAATGAGAAATTCTTAATTTGGAGGGAGGTAAAATATCTCCTGTTCTTAAGAGAAGACTTGTCATGGGAAATGTCCAATCTGAATGTATTTGAATAAATTGAACAATATATGTAACCTGGAGGTTTTTGTGTTTTGTGTTTTCTTTTTAAGGAAAAAAAATGTGGAAGAAGAGGTGGTAAAGTAAGTGGGAAGAGAGCTACAGCAATGACAGGTTAATCTTTGGCTGTGGGGATAGATTTGATTTCCCTCTAATTATCTGCTAGATTAAAAGAAATGAGGGATCAAAATGAAAGCCAGTTTCAGTAATCATTTGAAGCCCTGGGTTATCACACCAAATGGTTGGCAATATTCACCAGCTGCTTCCTTTCCTTTTCTTTTTATGCAATTTCCATTTCTCCCTTCACTTTCAGCAGTGTAAGGGGCCCCTTCCAGGTCTCAGGGAAGAGGCTAACAGGAGAGGGATGGGAGGGGAGTGGTAGCATCCTGCCAGGTGTGTGTGTCACAAGGGAGAGGCACTGGATGTGCACTTCCTGTCTGGGCAGACACTCTCCTGTGCTTAGAGAGGACCCCTTCCCTGTAGACAGTGCCAGGCTCAGCAGCTCTGAGAATCTGCTGACCTGTGGTTCACTGCACCCACAAGTGGATGTACGGATGTGTGCGTGAGTGAATGTGGAGGGTGTGTTACATGTGGGACCCGTGCTAGAGGCTGGGTCATTGATGCTGTGAGCTCCTGTGAGGAACAGGATGCAGCAGGAGTACCAACAGCTAGATGGGCTGGGCCTGGGTGTGAAGAGACTCAGAGAAGGATGGAGGTGGTGGGGAAACCTACACAGAGGCAGCCAGGATCAGTGAGGGCTGCACAGCAGGGCAGAACATAAGGTTCTCAAAGCACTGAAAGAATTCCAGAATTGACACAGTTCATGAAAACTCCAGGCTGGAAGCCACCTAACATTCACCAGCAGAAAAACACACTAATTTTGGATATTTACTCAGTGGAATACTATATATCAATGAAAATGCCCCAATTATACCTCACTGCATAGACATTGGACACGAGAAGCAAGTCATAAAAGCACATCTACAATACATTTCCTATGAACTAAAATCCCAAACAGGCAAATGGAAACTTTATTTCATAGAGATGCCCCGTAAGTGTCAATGACATGAAACAAAACAAGAAATAATGATCAGAGAGTTTCAGACAGTTGCTCCTGGACAGGGAGGGGCAGAGGGAGGTGTGACCTGACAGGGGCCCAGGGGGAGGCTGGGATTCTGGGCCTGTTCTGTTTCTTAACACCAGGGCATTAGAATAATTGGTTAAATGCACACTATACCACATATATGATACATATATGATTTCACAGGTAAAACAAAGTCCAGTGTGGCCTAATCACAGCGAGTGAGCAGGGAAGGTGTCAGAAATGGGGACCACATGTGTAGGTCAACTATTTTGCTTTTTATCCTAAAAGCAACAGACAAGTTTGAAAGGGCAGGGAGACAGGATGAGGTTTATGTTTTAAAGTGATTGTTTTGACTGCAACATGAAGATCAAACTGGAACAAGGCCAGGGTAGGTGGGGCGGGCACTTAAGAATTTGAGCCATGGCAGTCGTGTGGACTTGGGTGGCCATGGTACGAATGGCGTGAACTGTGGTGTCCGAAGTATTTAGGAGGAGGCATCAGAAGGACTTGGTGATGAATGGGTTATGGTAAGTGAGCATAAGGAGACTCAAGTTTGGCAACTGCATGGCTTCGGGTGCCAGTCACAGAGGTGGGGAGCCCTGGGATAGGACAGCTTTGGGATCCATGATGAAGGGCTGTGAGATTTTCAGGTGTGCTGTCTCGGTAGCTGGGTACATCAGCCAGGGGCCCAGGAGAGGCGAGGCCTCTTGCAGGTGGGAGAGCTCCCTGGAGAGGGAAGTCCCCATGGCAGACACTTCATGTGACTTTACAGAGAGTTCAGTGGTGGCGTGGGGAAACCTGGCTCCAGTCCCCACTTTTGCTCTTTCTGGCACATTCATGGCCACAGCAGCATGCTCAGCACAGGAGCATCTCATCTTCACACTGTCTGGGTGTATCACCCATGTGGTATAACTCTCTCTGAGGCTCCTGGGATTGTGCAGCTGCCTTGGTGTCCTCAGAGAGCACTTGGCCCCAGTTGGATGTTGTACCCCTGCCTGGTGGGGGGATGGGGCGATGGAGGAACTCAACCAGTAGAGCAGGCAGAGGGGGTTTCTCTGGACAACTGCTCCACGGGGCTTCCCCAGGCAGCCCTTCCTCCTCTCATGATCATCAGTGCCATCCTCACCCACACATCTGCACAGCGCTCTGCCGCTTGGAGTCATTTCAAACCACTTAGCGGAAGACATACCCACCCATGCAAAAGAAGCAGGATATGAGTCATCATCCTCATTTTACAGTTGAGGAAACCAAGACTCTGACAGCATGGTACTCCTCAAGCCTTGGGTTTCAGGACTCTGTGTCCTGCAGAGTAGACTGCTGGTGATGGGAATTGCCTGTGTGCCAAATCCACCAGCTGAGGCACCAGAATCTCTCCATTCCATGAACTCTGTGAGGTGCTGCAGGGAACAGAGACTGTCTGTGCTCAGGGGCCTGATTAGGAAAGGGGAGTGGAAATCCTCTACAGGGAGGAAACATCCTCTGCAGGGGATGTTTAGCCCAGAGGGACAGCCATTGCCATTTTTACCTTGAAAAGTTTTAATGGGAGTTAGAATGGACTCTCTGTTCTGTAGGCAGAACAACCATGGCTGAAGTTTACAGAGAGATTGAAGCTCAGTGAAAGAACAAAAATTCTTTGCTGAAATGATAAGAACTGACTCAAAGGAGTAGTGAGTTCCTTGTAGCTGGAAGTAATCAAGTCCAGACCAAATAGCCAAGTACTGTAGAGTAAAGGAGCACTCACTCTGAGATGAGCAGAGGCAGGCTCAGTTCTTGGTCTTGTGATCCTGGGCAAGTCACTTAACCTCTCCAAAACCTGGTTTCCTCCTCTCTACAATGTGGATAATGGTGCCTAGATTGTAGGTTGGTTGTGAGGGTGAAATAAGGTACCAAAGCACATGCTGGCAACCACCCATTCCAGAAGTATCTACCAAGTTCCTCCTAGGTGGTTGACACATACTATTGATTGAATTTTCATTAATTCCGTGCAAGCCAGCCCCACCCATCTCTTCTCACTTCTATCTCCCTGAACCATTGCAGGGGTAGGAGTTGACATTTCCATTCACACACCCTAGCCCCATCCACATCACCTCCACCCCACCTGGGTCCGGTTCTCTTTGGCCATTCCTGAGGATTAGTGAGAAGATACCAGATGCACCCTTTGCCCTTGGAAAGATGGATGCCAGCTATGTAGGAGAAAAATTCCCAAACCCTTGGGTACCCAGAGGGAATGTCTAGAGCACATGGAACCTGGGATCTTAGGGACATGTCTCTTTGGCCTCAAGGACCTCTTGTTCCTAAGGGAGAGGTAGAGGTCAGAGTTAGGCTGGAGGTGGATGCTCTTATATGCAAGGCCCTGGCAGTGACCCATTGCCAGGGTCTAAGTGCAGGGTTTCTGCTAGATTCATAAGTGGTGATACTCAGGGAAACCTTCATCCAATGTGCTAAGCCACGAGCCATATTGAGGCCTCAATGGTAGAATGAGAGCAAAAGGAAAGCCAGGAAAGCAAGGGGAGAAGGCAGGAATCTAGGGAGGGGTGGGTATTGGAACAGGGCTGACAGCTAAGTTGCAGTGTGTGTAGAGACAGATTGCACTCTGTTCCCTCTGGGTCAAGGCCTCACCTCCATAGTGTGCAAGGCATTAGGAGAAGAATCTTGGGCCACCGCAATAGCAGACCTCCTGGCTGTGGGCTGTCCAGCTGGCTTGGGGAAGAACCAAGAGCTCAAGTCCCTCTCCTGGGCTTTGAGTATGGGTGCAGGAGAGTATAAAGGATCAGTCTCAGCCATCTGACCACTAAGGATAGAACTGCAGTCGTGTTGAAATAGCCCCATGAGGGCAGCCAATAAAGCACCCTGGGCATCATTTTCTGGGTCTGAGTCAGCACAACTGTCCCTCAATCCCCTGTCCACTGTGCCCTGGTGTCTTCTGACTACTTCCTGCTTCAGTGCAGGTTACAGGGCTGGACGGGGCCAGTCCACTGGGTTCAGGACCTTAGAGCCTGCAGCTGAGTTGGGGCAGACAGGGAGAGCCATCCAGGCTGAAGAGGGGTTCCCGAACTTTGGTGGGTGTTGGAGTCTCCTGGAGGGTTTGTGGAAGCCTAGGTTGCTGAGCCCCACCTCCAGAGTTCTGATCATCTGTGTTTCTAACCCATTTTCAAGTGATGTCCATGCTCTGGTCAGGTAGGGTGGTTGTCTCCCATCTCCCATCTTTGTATCTGTCCCAGACCACCTCAGAACTCTGAGCAGCAGCCCTTCAGCCCCTCATGGGGTTTAGCACTGTGGTGGTCAGTGGGACTTGTCCTTATGCACAGAGGTGGGCAGTGCCCCGTGGAAGGAGACCACTTGGGGACAGGGTTCACCAATAATCCAGAGAACAAGGTGCCCTAGCTTAATGGAATTCTGCTCACAGGTGTCACGTGAAGAGCGTGCGACCACAGCACTGAAAAAGCAGCACAGGGCCACATAATAAATTCACATTTTATTAATCTGTTTTATTCCCTTGCCTTTCTGTGCAGATTTCTTAAGACAAGCAAAATACTAAATGATTGTAAAATCTAACCTTTAAGGCACAATCAAACCCTTTTAAAACAATCCTTCTAATGAGGGAAAATGCTGCAGATTTTTTCCCTTTTCAGTCTCTTGTAGCTCAGCAGAGGCAAAGTCCTAGATACATTCTTAATTTTGCCTCGGCCTTTCTCTACAGCAGAACGAGTGGTGGGGAAAATTTTTTCTCTAGGCAACAGCAACATTTCTGTCTCATTTGTTTGGTTTTGCACTGTAACATAGCAGCTTATGGGGCTGCTAATTTGAACTTTGGTCCTTCTAGGAATGTATCGTTCATGATCAGTAAATATATCAGGTTGCAGGTTTTAGCCATTTAATTATTGAATATGGAAATGCATCTTTGCCTCATGAATATTTTAAAATGGAACAGTA